CACCTTCATAACGGGCTGGGCGAAGTACCGGGAGCTCCAGTCGCAGAAGCCAGTCTGCATGGTGGCGCAGATGAAGCTTTTGTGTCCGGCAGCCTCGTCAGCGTCGTCTGCCGTCTTTGGGCATTCGGAAAGGAGGTTAGAAGGAAACACATTAGCTCCTTTCTTTCTGTTTCCTGTGTTTTTGACACAGGGTCTACTATGTAACCCGGGCTGGCCTTGAACTTGTGAGCTCCTATCTTAGCTTCCAAAGTGTTGAGATTACAGGTGTGACACACTGCGCCCAGCCCCGTTCTATTTTTTACTGGGCTGCAAACACTATTTTCACGTCGCTCATGGACACTGCGAGGTTTTGACCCTAGGGAGCAAGCGAGCAGTCTCGTGTCTGCTCCCCGTGCCCACAGCACAGGGGTGAGGCACTGGTGGCAGGTTATGCTGGGCACATGTGAGGGACGCTGCTACATGCTCTGCTCGAGCCCAGGGCCCCGCCGCCCAGCACAGCTGCTCCTCGGGCGGCCGCGCAGGGCCGCTGCAGCGCGAGAGTGCTTTACTCAGGCTTTCCCCTGGCTCTTCCCGACCGCGGGCAGTAGGTGTCTGGGAGCAGTCCCTCTCTGCATCTTGGCAGGGGGACCCGGCGGGTGGTGGGCTCGTCTCTTTCCTTGGGGCAGCAGCTCAGGTTCCCTGTGGGACTCTGGCGGGGGTGAGGGGACGGGGGGGCAGCTATCTGTTGCCAGCCGTGTGCTCCCAAACCGTGGCTCCTGCCTCACCCCTGCCCCTGGCCCTGAGTCAGGGCTCAGGTAGGGCACTGATGCGTGCGGGGCTCTGGCTGAGGCTGGCCAGCACGCGTGGAGACCTGCCGCTATCACGTGATGCTGTCACCAACTTGGCGAGCCTGCTTCTTGACTCCATCTGCAATGTGGCATCACTCCTTCGTTCAGCGGTGAGCCGTGCCTCTCCACTGGCGGGAGAATCACTGGGTACCCCTGCAGGTCCTGATGACCTTGTTCAGACCTCGTGTCTGGGAGTGACAAAGCAGCTGGCCCAGGCCAGACAGCTCTTAACGTGACTCCAAGAAACTTGGAGCGAGACACTTCCTCCCTGAGATTCCCTTCTCAACTTAAAGCTGTGTGTGCTGATCTGTGTCGACTAATTGAATGTTTACGGAAACACCAAACAACCCATTCAGAATAAACACTGTAGAGCAGCTGCCATATCAAGCGGAGGCAAAATGCTATTTACCCAAGAAGGGAAGACGCAAATTAACTCCGCGTGCGTATTTTGCTTGGCAGCATCGCCGAGACGAGCAGAGCAGGAAGTCTGCGGGTGAGACGCCCTGCGTGCCAGCACTGCCGGGCTCTGCGGACGGTGCCGAGCCAGGCTGCTGCCTGGGCGTCCCAGGGCAGGGTGGGTGCGGGGACACCACGCCCCAAACCCCGGGCCTCACCGCTCACCCTGGAGAAGCCGGGCCTCAGCACCCGGTCGGCACACCAGTGAGCATAAGCAGCCATGCAAAAGAAACAGCTGCCTTCTCTCCGTACCTGATCCGGGCCCTTGTCGAACATCTTCCGTGTGCGGGGGAACTGGTGGGAGTGGGGCGTGTACTGTGTGCCCGCAGGGCCTGCAGGGCCCGCGCGGCCGGAGGGCAGGTCTCGGCTGACGGGCTGCTTGGCCACGTCGTTGGTCAGGCTGCAGCTGCTGGTGCTGGATGCGGGCGGGGAGCCACTGTTGTCAGGAGGAGAGAACGCTACTGAGTGTCGCCACATGAAGGCGAGACCCAAGGCCCTCCCTGTTAGGTGTGAGGTGTCCTCCGCTGCCTGACTTCCCAATGCCAGTGGCTGACCGAGGGAGGCCCGTCACCCTGGCTGGCCCCGGCTGGCAGAGGCCCCTGTGCCCGGTGTTCAGGCCACCCACGCTGCTTGCCGAGGACTGGTCTGATGTGAGCAGGTGCAGCCCACCCTGTGGGTACCATGTGCGGAACCCAGGTTCTCTGGACAACCCCCCCCCCCCCAAGCCCTGGGAAACCTGGCTGAGCTCAGCTTTGCGTCGCCCTGGGCACGTGGAGGGGCTCCTGCCATAGGGCGGAATCCTGGTGCTCCGAGCACCCTGATGGAGGGCTGGGAGGGAAAGCAAGGCAGCCAGGGGCGGGAGCACCGGAAGGGGAGGGGCTGCGGGTAGGGCCCAGCCCCCACTCACCCGGCCTGGTGGATGTTCATGCCCTTGTTGGTCGGGCTGGCGGGGGCCGACTGCGTGAGTGAGGAGGTGTCCAGGATGCGCTGCGGCCGGGCGTTCATCGTGGCCTGGAAGCAAAGAGCAAGTGAGGCAGGAAGCCGGGGCGACACCCCGGCGAGGCTGGTGGCTGCTTCTCCATTGCTTCCGAATGGCGGGAGGTCGTCCAGCCAAGGAGGCTGCAGGCGAGACAGCGCCGGCGATGAGATATTCATTCACCCTTCTAGAAAGTGCTCTCCAGAACCAGCAAAGCCATGACAGTGCACAAGACCGGCGCTGCGTGTACAACAGCAGGAGGCCAATCTGACCCCTTCCCTTGATGGGCCTCCCCGAGGGCCAGGCCCGCGTCCCTGCCCATTCCGTCCTGGTCTGATGCCCAACACTTCAGCTTCGTGTGCGGCTGCACAGGGCCGAGAGCTCAGCCTTTCAGAGCGGGGCTGGGTGGTGCCCCAGGAAGGCCGCCAAGGCCCGGCGTGGGACCAAGGGTCAGGACAGACAGTGGCTGGCCAGGTGGCCCCTGGGGTGGCCTTGTGGCTGCCACCACTGTGCTGCTCCTATGCTGTGAGCCCCCAAGGGGCTCATGAAAATTGTGGGGGCTCGGGGTGGGGAAGGTGGGCCTGGCCTTGCATCAAAGGCCTGGAGCTGCGACTTGGGGGGGAATGCCCGCTCAGCCTGGTGGGCGCAGTTCAGGTATAGGACGGGGAGGCCGGGGCTGTGTGTGGCCTCCCGGAGTCGTGCGTGGCCAGCTCACGCTGGCTTGACACAGGGCGTTTCAGAGGGCACGGGCTTTATCTGGGGTTTTAACAGGATTCTGTGCAGATCTGGGAATGGAGCTGTCTGCTGGGGGATGGAGAGGTGGGAACCCAGGAGTGTTTGAGGTCTGGCCCTTGGCAGCCCTTGTGAGCCAAGGAGGTGAAGCTGGAGGATGTGGCTGGTGGGATCGGTGAGCCTTTGCGCTGAGACCACGGGCTCGGGGAGCGCCTGCTGGGTCGGGGGGGCCAGAGGCTTTTTAGTGGCAATGACCCCTCTGCCATGGATGGTCTCTGAGAGCCTTCTAGAAGAAGAGCAGGCGGTGCCTGGCCTGGAAGGCTCTGCATCGAGGCCCCTCTGGTCTCGTATTTCTAAACTTCGCTTCACCATGAGGAACGCTGTCCCCACAAGCGTGGCAGACAGAAGCCAAAGAGACCAACGACCAGAGGCAATGCTTCCCACCAGACCCTGCCCTTTAAACGCCAGCCTCCCAGGGCTGCGCATCCTTCTCTTGTTCCCTCCGGTCTTGTGACTTGGCCCGAGCTGACCTCCGACTGGAATCCTCCACCTCGCCCCTCCCAGCTCTCCCAGATACGCGCCAGGCGCCCGGCAGATTCTCATATTCTGATTACAAGAGTAATACACATTCTTGGTGAACTAGATTTTGCTTTGATATTTAAATCATGCAGCCAATTCTACCGGCATAATCTGACAGCCGAGTGATTCCTTCAGTCTAAAAGAGAGAAGGATTTAAACTTAGGCCAAGTTTAACACATGCTTTCTCAAAATTTCTGGAGGCAGTGGGTGGTGATGGGGAAGACAGAGGGCTTTCTGGGCTGGAACGGGAACTTCCACGAATCCCACGCCCTCCCCTGCGCCAGCGCAGCCTCCCGGGCTCCCGGCGGGCGCCTCTGGGGAAAGCAGCGTGGGCCTGGGCGCCTGCCTTGGCCTGCGGCTGACAGCCTGGGGGCAGCGTGCCCACACACCGGGCTGTGCCGCAGGCACCGGGCTGTGCTGCTCCTCCTGTCCCGTTCAGATGCCGCAGGTGTGACCTGCCTGGGGCGGGGGAGTTTTCAGGGGCACCGATGCCCTCGGGCCCGGCTCACCCAGGTTTGGGTCATCTGCAGATGTGAACAGAGCCCCCGTCAGGGAGGGGACCGGGAGGACAGATGACATGTAGGCAGGGGTCAGAGCTTGGGGACAGTCTCTCCTGGCACAGGCCCTGTCATGTGGGAGCACCCAGACAGGCAAATCTGACAGACCCCCCCCTCGCCCCCCACGGCCACCGGATTGGGGCTGGTTTGTGGACGAGCCCTTCCCCACGGGCAGCGGCCTGCCTGGAACACCCAGCCCCGAGGTACACCCGCAGCTGCACGCAGAGCCGGCAGCCGTGAGGGCGAGGCGGCGGCACCATGCCAGCTCTTCAGGGTGGCAAAGTGAACTCAGTCAAGAGCCAACCTTCGAGCCAGACCGCAGGCTCAACGTGACGCTAACGCTGGGTGAGGAGGGTGAGGAGCGGCGTGGCAGGGCCCACTTCTGCCTCCAGGCTCCAACCAGAACCGCATGAGCACAGAGCAAGCCTGACCCAATGCAGAGAAAAGCACCAGGAAGGAATCACAGAGGCTGGGTGGAAAACCACCCTGAGCCCTGAACGCCGGGCGCTTCAGACATGGTGCGGTTCATTTGCTTCCAATGATCTGGAGATTCACATGTGACTTTTTTTTTAAATCGTCGTGGGGCTTTAAACTCTGGGCCTGGATGCTGTCCCTGAGCTCTTCAGCTCAAGGCTAGCATTCTACCACTTGAGCCACAGCACCATTTCCAACTTTCTGGTGGATTACAGGAGATAAGAGTTTCAGACTTTCCGGTCTGGGCTGGCTCTGAACCACAATCCTCAGATCTCAGCCTCCCGAGTAGCTAGGATATAGGTGTGAGCCACTAGTGCCTGCTTAATATGGTTTTAGAAGAAACATGTGGGTATGATGATTAATCTGATTTTTGGTGACACTGGAGCCTGAGCTCAGGGCTTCGGTCTATGACTGATACCTCAGCCATTAGGCAAGCACACCCGAGGGGACCTGAGCATGGGCAGCACAGTCGGACAGGCTGGGGCTCAGAGGGAGCAGGAGAGGGAGAAGGGAGAAGCCACTAGCACAGGATCCGTTTCCTGGCTCCATGATGGAAACCTCTGAAACCACACGCCAGAGCAAATCCACCTCCTCCTGTGTTCATGCTGGCCCTTGGGGACCGCCGGGGGTGGGGGTGGGGGCGGGGGTGTGGGGGTAGGTGTGAAAGGCAAGGCTTCCGCCTCCTCCAGAGTTCATGGCGGCACCTGGGGGCCAGCTGGGGGGGGGGCAAAAGGCAAGGCAGGCTGGGTATCAGTGACAAGGCTGCCTTTGTTGTGGCTCTTGCTTTGAGATCTTGCTATGCTGCCTGGGTTGTCCTTGAACTCACAACTCTCCTGCCTCAGCCTTCTGAGCACTGGAGTGACAGGCGTGCTAATGACAGGTTTGCTCCAAATAGGAAACTAAAATATAGTTAAAAATAATTTTCTGACAACCAACTAATTGGGAAAAAATATTTACCAGCAATATATCAGACAAGGGGTTAACATCCAGTATATACAGGGAACTCAAGAAACTAATCCCTCCCAAACCTAACAAACCAATTACTAAATGGGCAAGGGAACTAAAGAGGGACTTCTCAAATGAAGA